CCTTTGCTATGGATTTTAAACGTACCTACAAATTTGTTTTGTACTGTGTATATATGGAACTAAGGAAGTGTGTGTACTAACATGTGTATTTCCTTCTTCTGTGCACGCTTCTGCAAAGTTCACCAGATACGCCTTGGTGATGAGTGTCGAAAAGCATAAAAGTAGCAGGACTTGACAGTTTACCACCTGAGTTCTTTAAAGATGGAGGTAGGATGTTGCTAATTAAAGCCATGAAAATACTAGGTAGTATATGGGAATCAGAGATAGTCCCGCCAGATTGATGTACTTCACTGATCATCCTGGTCCATAAAAAGGAAGAGAAGTCTTCTTGAGACAGCCATAAGGGAATTAGTTCGATTAATATTGTGTCAAAGATCCTGGTCTCGATGCTTATCAAACGTCTAATTGTAGCTCCAGTAGAGCAAACTTAAGAAAACCAGGCCCATTTCGTCTATGGTCGAGAGTGCATCGATAACATTTTCGCCCCCGACAAGTTCTTAAACACAGGCATACTTATCGGTGGAAGACACTTGCCATATTTCTTAACTTGAGGGCGACATTTGACTTTGTCGACTTTGAGGTGTTGTAGCAGTGTCTAACTTTGAAAAAGAGTAAGAAACCGTAATTACAGCTCTCTGGTCGAATTCATCCAGCCATATAAGGCCTTATGGAGAGTTGTCTTTCGAATTGAAGACAACTATCGGTGTCCAGCAGGGATGTCCACTGCAACCGTTCATAATTGACTTTCTTATCGGTGTACTGACGGACTGAGCCTTAGTCACGTGTGACTCCACACGGATTGACTTACTCCATGAACGTCACGTGGTCGAGTAGGAGTACGCAGATGATGTTTTCCTGCCGGATGAAAATGCTGAAAAAAATTCAGGCTATTCTGAACCTACTGGGCAGTATTTGAGTATGTTGGGTATGAGTTTTATTGGCACCTGTCAAATGTAAGATAACGCTCCAGGACTGGTCTGCTGAAAGTTCTGTCACTTTAATGATAAGAAGTGAAGTAGTGGAATGTGTTGACCAATTTACTGACATGGGGAGTTGCATCAGCCCACCGAGGAGGCTGGTTGCTGACGTGGTCTTAGCTCTGACACAGAAGACCTATAAGTTGCCTACGGCTCCGACTAGGGAGATATCCGGCTATTTATTGAAGGACAGGTATGCTGCGTCAATGTATTCGGTCCTGTCCTGTTATCTGGCTGTGAGACACAGCCGTTAAGAGCAGAAGACATGGAGGAATTGTAGGGTTTTGACAACATATGTCTTAGTAGCATTGCTCACGTCTGGTGGAATCCCCATGTGAGCAATATTGAGGTCAGGTGACGGGTATTAGGCAAGACAAGCAAATCGGTTGATGAGGTTGTGAACCCTCAGAGATTGAGATGGCTTATGTGTGCTTAGCATGCTAAGCCAGCACCTACCTTGAGAAGTCATGTTGAAGGAACTTGGATTAGGTTAGAAGAGGGTTCAGGATGGCCAGATGAAGACGCGGCATCAATCCATTAAGTCTCTGACTGTTGATCTAAGTCGTATGGGGCGATGTAGAATGCCTGGCTGGGGTCCGCGGTAGGAAATTAATCAGTGGTTGGAGACTCTTGCTGACATAACTGGAAATCGGTCACAGTCACGCAGATATATATTCACTCCTTGACATCTCGTAAAGCTTGAATATTCACACTAACCTTTGTTCTCAGATTGTGTATTCTTTTACACGACTTTATCTTCTTTGATATCACTCCTTTTCTATCCGCTTATTTTTTGTGTACTACTATTAAGTGTGTCAACTTGACTAGATGCATTTGTGTGCACCTGTCTGTCTGTTCAAAATAAAGTTCATTGCTCTGGGACCCCTAAAGTATTTTTCTCGTCAAAGCTGACTTATATTCCCTATGTGGTTGAGATATACAATTGGATAGCACAAATTAGTGCTATGTCCTAATCTAGCCACCCTAAAATGTTTTGCGCTTAAATGACATACGTTTGTGATGTGGTCGCACATTTGTCACATGTAACATTATATTTTCACCTTAGAACGAAGCACAACACCTTGGGTTACTTAGAGTGTAGCCATCACATTTGGTCAAAAACGAAAATTTTCACTTTTGCAGTTGAGAGTTCACTGAAAGATATGTCTCTTTAACGTTTCTTATCGCTAACCTGACTGATTACATTAGTTGTTGTTTTCTGTTGGGATTTCAACAACATTAATGCATAAAAACAAGTTTACATTGACTGGTAAGTTGTAGCCTTAGTTGGTGGATCTTAAGAACTGCTTAAATTGAATGCAGTATTAGCCATAAGCGAATATGACCTACAGTATGCTTGAGAATAATCAAACTGTTTCCTTATATTTACCTGGTGACAAATGCAACTGATTGTCTCCAAACATAACAGTCGTTTTGCTTATTACTCTATCGCTTTCAAAATCCTTCAACTATTGTTGAATCTGGGAGATGACTGAAGGGGAAATGAAAATTTGGACCCTGGCGGGATTCGAACCGGCGACCACCAGCGATCACCTTTAGTCATCACCCAGTATCAATACTAGTCAGCCAAACCATCGCTATCTCAGATAGTCAAAATGATAATCTATTTAGTTGATACTTTTTACTGAAGGCTGGCGAAATATACTCACCCTTTTGTCTCTTTCTAGGAGGCATGAGAAGTGCTGTCAAGGTAGTCTGACCTTTTGTATTTAGTGACTCTAAAGGCCAGTTGGAATACCCAATTAGATTACTTTATTTCGGTTGAAATGGGATTTTTTCTATGAACTAAAGAAGCCTAATCGGTTATTTCCATTACTGTTAGGGTGGACTTTAGAATCACTCCTTTTATTAGTGGCAGTGATTTGTTGAATACTATGAATGACCCTAAAGGTTATGCCAATAACTTCTAACATAATAAATTGTTTTCCTCTTTTACGAAAAACTACCATCTGAGATGGGGTACTGAAACCTGATCGGTTATTTCAGCAGGTACTAGGGTGACCTAAAAACTTCCCAAATACCATCCTGCCAACTATTGAGAGAATGAATTAGTTTCCTTCTTTTTGTATGGTTAGATAGTTTGTTTATAAAACAAAGAAATACTGTTGGATGTTTTAGTAATTTTTAGGGTAGCCATTAGAGTCCCTCATAGATGTGACTGAAGTGTTCCTATGTTAGTTGAGTAATTCTAAAAGCCACCCAATCAACTGCTGAGATAACTAACCAGGTATGACTATTTTGGTTGAGAATAGAATGAGGAAACCTAATTGGTTACTTTATAGGTTGCTAAAGTGACCTTTAAAATCAATCCTGTTACTCTTTGCAAACAATAAGTTGGAGGATGAGATTATCTTCCAAGTGTGATAAATACTAGCTTGCATTTTCTGTATTACTAAAGTCTTTCTTTAATAATATCGTCCATCCTTTCAACCTCATTGAACTTGGAATGTGAAATTAAAAGCCACTTTTCAACTACAGGATGGCGACTCTAATTGTCATCAACTCTTTTTCTTTGCTTTATACCAAAACTACCTGTCCAGCAGAAACGAAATACCCTAATTGGCTATTTCAGTAGCTGATAGAGTGAGCTATGCCTACTAAATAAGCAATAAGCTCTTTTTACTTTTCAACTAATTTTTGATCTGTTGACAAATTGGTCTATTAAGTTACTCTATTTCGTCATTAAGTGTCGAGTTTAATTTGACTCAATATTTTAGTTCACCAACACTGGTATATAACATCCAGTATTTACGATTTTTCAATAAATTATTTATCCCTCATAAGTTTGATTTGACAAAAATCATAAAAATTATCATCTTACACAACTTAAAGAGATTTCGTCATAAATTTTAAGGAATCTGATTGTGTATCAAGTTTATTTAATTCACATGTGTCAGGAAATTTATTTTAATTAGTAAACAAGACGGTGCACTTCCATTTGGAATGCTAATTCCAGTAATTGTTAACAAGTGCTCTTCAGCATCAATAGTTTTATGTATGAATACTTTGGAATTAACTAGAAACACTAAAAACTAAGGTTAAGCATCAAAAGAATGACTTTAAAGACTACAGAATCGGTATCGTAATACTACATTCGTCTCACATTATCAGATTTATAAGTTACAATATGTTCTTAAGGTCTGCGCCGAGAAATTTATTGTTATTTGACCTGAGATAGTTAAAAAAGGTATCTATTTTATATGACTATTCAATGATTCATAACGGCTGCCATATTCCAATCTGTGGAAAGATGGACTAAGTGTTTGATGTGTAAGTTACCTTGAGTATTTTAAATGTGTTTTTATAACTCTATGTACTGAGTAAGGTTAAGAAATAAAGGCTGTCCTAAAGGATGGATGAAGTGATTTCCATTTTAGTGGCATTATTATCCTCATATACAGACTACTTTTTCAGCAGGATTACTGAAAGAAGTCATTTTTTCAAGATCATCAATTTTAATTTAAATGAAGGTATCAAAAAGCACTACGAGTCAACATGAATGCTTGGAAGCTGTCTACGTGGGTCTGCAGAGATTTTACTAAATACTTCTTATAAACCACCTTTACTCTTTTGATCACTCCTTTTAATTACAGTCAACTTTGATAATAAATTTCAGAAACTTTTCATACATATTGTAATTGATTAAACCTGTACGGTTAATTTATCTGAGAACAGATTTTCTTTCTGATAGATTTTGTCCAAGTTTCCTTTATGAAAATCTGGTACTTACTATATTTTCGAAATAATAATTTGATTGTTTCTGTATCTGTGTACTATTTCCATCATAGTGAATATGTTTTTAACCACATGAATATACTGTGATCTTATTTCCAACTTCCATATCTATTATGATTAGTCATGAACCAAACTGTATAACAATATAGAAAACCGTTTTATCTTTTTTTCCAGGGACTGATTCAGTATTTATCACTGAGTTTGGTAAATCTGATGAATTTAAGTTATGTGACGTAACTTTCATTTCTTATATTTTCTTTGTGCTTTGAAGTTTTTTTAGCGATTGGATTGGTTTTACGGGGTAGGGTTTCTAGCCCTATGCCAAACCTTCCCTCTTTACCCGGGCTTAGGACCGGTTAGCAATTAGTGAGCTAGTTAACCAGGTGAGGTTTAAATAAATTTGGGAACACTGGACAGCTTTTTCGCCCTAGTATGGGACTCCCCAGCAGTCAAACCCAGGATCTAAAGGTTTCACGGCAAATGCATTAACCAATCAGCCACTGGGTCACCACAGACCTAAGAACATAACTAATTCTTCTGCTTAAATTGGGTTACTTAGTTCTATCAATCCCAAAGTTGCATTGCTTATTGGACATACGTTATATTTTACATTTCTAAAAGTTAACTCCCTAGTTAAATTTCTTTGAATTCTTAACAAGCTAAATCTTAGTATTATTGCTTGCATTATAACGTCGTTGACTGAACCGAATTGATCGGTCTCTATTGGCATATCGCCTCCTTCAATAACACTAAAACTATACCCGCAGCACAAGAACCGGCCAGCCTAGCTCGGTGGTCTAGTGAATAACGGTCTGGTGTTTGAAACGGTCCGTCCGGGTTCAAGCCATATGGGAACAACTCATTGAGAAGTAGGTACACCCATCTGACGAGTCCCAGATTGGATGAAATACGCATCCTGCGTCCCATTGGCCATGGTTATTAAACTAGATCTCAGATGAATAGTTATTGGTTCTTTTAATTTCCCAGTGAGAAAGCGTACAATTTGAACCAGATTTCGTCTGGGTATTTCTAACTGCTTGAGAATCTTTTTTTACCAATAAATTTTGTTATTCCCATCCATCGATTTTTGTATGCCGCTGTAAGACATATTTAACAACAAAGTTTCTTTTAGTTTTAGGAGACAAAATTAATTAAAAGAAGAACTTTGAATGAGTAATTTCTGTTGGCACTGCTAACTTGTTCGACTTTTTTTACCAGAATAAATTATCGAAAAATGGAATATTTTCGAATACATCTCTTCTCATTTCAATCAGTTATAACTTAACTTATATATCAAATTGCCAAGTTGTGGCAATTCCTAATACATAGAGTTTAACATCTAGGTGAACTAGAGCTATGGAATAATTTGAGTCCATATGTTTAATCAATAGGGTGTAGTAAAATGTAGGATTTCATCTCCGTTTGTAATCGATTACTAAAGAATCTATGAAACACTGTATACCTCTTTCTTTATTATAATTAACATTAACAACCACTATCATATGAGAAGTCTTATCAACTCTCCTTAGAAAGTTCATAAATTTGTCTTCAGAATAGTCATTTCAAAATTTTAAAAATCCTGCTCATTATTCCGAATTTGGTTTCATAGATACACACTTTCAGTTGTCTATTCTCAAAGTTAATCAAAGAGAACCTAACAGTATATATGACAAATTCAGTTGATGAACTTATGAACCACGTTCTACATTGATTTGTATTTGATTCACACATTTACTCATTTTCATAATCAGCTGAATTACCAATGAAAGACTGATGGTTTTATCTTCGTCATTTCATTCTGTCGATCAAGAGATTTTTAAGAAGATTTAAAATAACTTCATATATTTTATGTCACCATTATCAGTATACTAGTTTCCAGATAACACTGTAGCTTAATTTCGAACCCCACCAATAACCATGAAGTTTGAAAAAAATGAAGTCAGTGAAATCAAAGAGTGAAACTGAATATTTAACAGAGTGAAATATCGAAATGAAGTAGTTTGATTCATGGTTGTATTGTATTCTCTGAGCTGGGTTGTTTAGTCGTGGAGCTTTCATCATCTTGCTAGACGGCATCGTCAACACTTACTTCAGCAAGACGATGAAAGCTACGTGACTAAACAACCCAGCTCAGAGAACACAATACAACTAAGACCTGAGATACAAATATTCTCCACCATTTCAAAATCATACGAGCGTAGTTTTATTTATCTCTAGAATGAATCTGAAAAAGGAAATTATTACATCAATAGGTTTAACTGATATAACTTACACATCCTACAGTTTAATTCTCAGTACTTATTCACGTATTAAGAGGACCAGTGTCTTAGTAATGGCTGGTGAATGTCTCTAGAACTAGGCCGTTGCTGCCAGGTATACAACGAAGACAGGACTACAGGCATATTGAGACAGCTATATGAGTGTTTCTTATATCAAGAGTGACTAGCTAGCTCACACATATTCATGAAAAAGTGGGCCAGGTAATACTCCAAATGGATCTTTTTTCCTTCCTAATAAAGTTTATTGGATGCGTCTTATATACGCTTGCAGCTTTTTGATCGGACAAATCATATGGCGAATGAAATCGAATGAACTTGTCCTTTTTGGGCTCCATAACAGACCAAAAATACATAAACCAGGAATCCCTCTACGACCAATGGTCGCACTTCCGGGAAAATATAACATATCAACTGAACGTTCAAGAAAAACTCGTTCAATCATGCCGACATTCCATGAAGTCACCAACGGAATTCTTAGAAAATATCAGAGGTATTAACATAGAAAATGACCAAATAATGGTATCTTTCAATATCACAGCACTATACAAATCCACCGAACTCTAATTGGCCAAGGAAACTATGTCCCACCTGCTCAATGAAGATAAAAACCTTTCAGAATGTATGAAACATAAATGCTCAAGTTTGATGGAACTTATTGACCTATATCTGACAACATATTTCCAGTTCAATGGTAAGATACACAAACGAATGAGAGGAACTCCAATAGAGTCATCAATATCCGGACTAATTGCAGAAGCAGTAATGCAGAGGCCGGAAGGCATGATTCTACCGTTGATTAAATCAAGAATTTGAATTCGCTATGTAGACGATACTTTTGTCATCATTAAAAAAGATGATATAGAAAACATTCACATTTTGATCATCAACGTTTTCAATTAATCAAATTCACAATACAGAAGAAGTCGAACAACATACTGCCATTCCTGGATGTTGTAGTCAGTAGAACAAATACCGGAAAACTGGAATCTCAGGTGTACAAGAAGTCAACAAACACTGATCAAATTCTCAGCTACAGAAAAAACAACCCAACAACATACAAAATTACTCGCATACAGATTCCTATGAAGAAGAGAGTGACAACACACTCTGCAGTAGAACAAATTCACGGAGAAACGCAGAAAACTACTTGATATCTATCGTGAAGGAGGACGGATACTCACGAAACTTTATCAGAACATGCCTATTTCGTTCATCATCAACCACAGCATCATCGACAGAAATCAACAAACGCATCACAGTACTGTACATAGAGAATGAGAATATATCAGAGATCTCATGAAGATTAGTGAGACCACCTCGAATCGGTGCAGCTGATAAACCAACAAATTCCTCTCAAACCCTATTATCCAGAACAAAAGATGCAACAGCCGAAGAAGACAAACTAAATATCACTCATAAAATCAACTGCAACAGGTTTGCTTAACTCCACATTGATCGAAGTGATCTCCCTTCTCACCTTCGTTTACATGAACACCAACTAGGCATTAAACGTCACGACATTCCATGGCTTATTTCAGTGCACGTGTTCAACTATGAAAATGGACTCAATGTTGACAATATAGAAATGGTGGACAGAGGAAACACGAGTAATATCAGAGAATTCCTAGAAGCTTGTCATTCAGATTAGTCATCAATCAACAGATGTATAGACCCAGACCCAACCTACTAACCAGTGAGGGAAGTGGTAAATGACAGAAATGTCAGTGGTCAAGCAGAGGAACACCCAACAGAGAAGTCTATCCCGCCAATGACACAACAATCAAAGGAAACAATCAATCATAAACCAGTTCGTTAGGGCAAGTTATTAAATCACTCATGCAGAAATGTTGGGAGCTTACTTTATACTGTAGTTAGCGCTGAAGATGTCATCTAGCAAGACGATGGAGGCTTCACGATTAAACAACCCAGCTCAAAGAACACAAAGTTATAAAAACCATCCACTTGAGCTACAAATATTCTCCACCAGGTTAAAGTGTATTTATTACTGATTCAATTACTTCTACTCTATGTTTTTAAAATTAATGATTAGAACTTTTGGATTATTTTAACTTTATTGCAGTAACTGCAATTTTAATAAGTGAATAGATGGAGATTGTTAAGCCTTTAGTATACTAACCAAATAGTATTCTACTTATAAATACGGAACTAGTAAATTAATAAGTTTAACTGAACTTTAATGCTTCAGTAACTGCACCAAAAATATTTCAAAGCAAAAAGATATTGAGATTGTTATGAGTGCATGCAATCAAAGGAATTAGCTTATATCATATTTTTAGGTATAATGAACAGACGTTCATTCACTTAGTAATTTAATTTCGTATATTACTTTTGCTACTTGTTAGTAGTACAAGTTGTAGACAGAAAAATATGCCTTTTTACATTAAAGTATCAAAATATCAGTGTATCTATTATTTATTTAAAGAAGAATGTATATCTTTCATTAAAATTACCTTCATAGTGATGATATTAGCTAATATTCCTCTTTTATCTTCAAAGGGAATTCTGAATACATTTCATTAGCGTCTTCATTTCATTTTCATCCTAATCACCTTCCAATTTCAATCCAAGTGAACAGTCATCCTGTAGTCTATTCTTTTTCGTGTTTTTCCTTCCAAATTTCACCAAATGTTCATTTTTACGGTTTGTTGAGTCAGGTGATACATTTTTATTATGTTTTACTACTTCAGGTGTTGTTTCTTTCGATGTTAATAATGCGGGTGGATTTATGACACAATGTCTAAAATAACAACGGTCACCATAAAAACAATATCCAGTTGTTGAATAATACCAACACAACTGGCTACGAAATTTTGGATGAGTTTTTGGATCACGTAATTCTTCTCTGCCATGTGCAAAATGACATTTTACTCCAACTGGACAACAACCACCACTTTCTTGGAAATGTTTGCATATTTGACTCTTATAGAGTATATTGAATTGATTTAGATTTTTATTCTTTGAATCACTAGATAATATCTAAGCAAAAAAAAGAGGAGAGGCGAATGAACACAGTCATTTGTTACCATTCGTTTAAAGGCATTAAGATATATTTTGTTCCATTAAAGCATATTTATTTTTTAACTGTTATATGCTGTTTTACCGGACAAGAAGTCCTGGGAGATAGGTTAAAGGTATACCACCGTTTATTAGAACAGTGATGTTTCCTAATCACTTTGATATTTTCGTAACAAAATTAAACTATCTACAGTTACCAAAGGAATACTTCCTTATGATTTGCTTAGTTAAGCAGCAGTTAGTCAATAATAGGTGGTGGAAAGTCACTTTTATTCTACTAATTTAGCTAAGCATGCTTGTGAAATGTTATATTCCAAAACTGTTTGTCATTTCTTGATGCTTGTAGTTTCCTGCTGATATACTGGGTTGCGTTGCCTGACCTCTGTTGACAGACAGACTCCTATGTGGAGGAATTGTGGAGAAGAAAATGCGAGTTAATTGCAATTAATTAGTAGATATTTCATTAAGCTGAAGAGAAAATAGTGCACTGAGATGTGTGTACAAAAAGACGTGATCTGTGGGTCAGTACATACAATTTCTAAGCCACGTACCCATTCAGTACAAAGCAAACCTAGTTAAAAGCCTTACCAAAAGAACCAGAAGAATATGTTTTGATGATTTTCTGCATAAGGAGTTAGTATATATCCGAAAATCATTGATCCAAATGGGCTATCTGTACAGCTTCACAAAAAGGCGCATAGACAAAGTAAGGGGGAAGTAGATCTGAACTAACTATCTTTCAGAGGAAACCACTGTTCATAAAATTGCGATTTAGTAAAAATCTGGTCAATGAAGTTGAAAATCAGAGGCGATTTCGACCCATTAAGAGAACTTTCTACATTAAGAAACTCTGCTTATCATTTCCTAGACGAACAGTTGTTGCTGATTGGACGAAAGATCAGTTACTCAGGTCTGACATTTCTATAAGTATTTACGAGTTTAACTGCTTTTGTAGAGAAAGTTATTTAAGAATCTTAGTAAGTTACTGAAGATTTACCTTTATCGTTGAGAAAGAGTCAGATAAAATCAGCAGGAAGCACTTCTTTTATCCCATCTAGTTGAAAGTGGTCACTTGGTAGGTAAAGTCAACGCTTTCAAGATTATCTATCACATACCACTTTATCTGTTGATTGGTATTCGAACTCTTTTTTTATACATACTGGAAACTATAAGAATTCGATGTATTAATCTAACCCTTTGTATCCAGAACATAAATAGGCATCATGTAGAGTGTATCCGTTTTGTAGTAGACTAGAAAGGAAGACTCTCACAGCTTCCAAAGAAATAATGCAACTTTACTCGTATACGGAAATTAAGGAATATAGACTTGGTGAGAAAAATGTGTATGTTGATATTTCCCGTTGCTATACAAGGTCGGATTGTTCGACCTCTTTTGGCAGACAGGCTTCCATGCAGACACCTCGATACTGCTGAATATCCAGGATGTTATGCTGATCTTGGTGACTAGCAGAGCAGTCCGTGACGCGGGTTTCGTCAACCGGACGCATCTGCACCCCAGTGGAACATACTATTATCACTGAGGCTGGAACTCCACACCCCTTACTTCAAACGCCAGAGCGTTACCCAGTAAGCCACTGGTTCGCGTTAGCCAACTCTTGTGCAACGGGTATCAGTTGTTGTTATGATACTTGCAATTTACCCGTAGCACAAGAGGTGGCTGTCGTACCCCGGTGACGGATAACGCTCTGGCGTTTGAAGTGAAAGGTACTGGGTTTTGGCCTCGGTGAGAATAACATCACTCACTGGGGTAATGGCGCAGCCAGCTGACAAATCCCAAATTGGATAAAACGTGCGACACGGATTCCTCTACTCGTCACCCAAATCAATATAAGAACGTGTATATTTTGGATAGTTTCTGAAACATAATGAATTGCTGAAAGCCTAATCCTCAAATCAGTCAATAATCGGTAAATATCTTAGTTTGTCAACGTAACGTAACAAGATAATCATAGTTCAAAGGAATCAGATAGACAATATGTTAGCACACTTCAACAAAGATCAAGAAACCCGTTTGGAAGGTCAATCATAATGCATATCCTAAAAAGACGTCAAAATAAATAACATACAAATTCACACAGCTATCCAATAGTTCCTCACAAGAAGAAGAAGGTGAAGCGTGAAAGAGATAAAGAAAATAAAAAACAGTGAACCGATTAGCATGGATAGTGTATGGAAACTTAATGCACACTGTGCATTTGACAACTTCTATTCGAATAATCCTCCTCATAATCGGGAAGTAAGACTGATTTGTTTACTATCAGACATAAATGTAAGTCAGCTAGAAGATTTCGCTCTTATAAATGGGTGATTCCTGCATTTTGTTATTAGTTTGAGGAGGAACAGTGGAATGAGTGAACACGTTTATGGTAAATAACGAATAGCTTTTAGAAATGAAACTGGTGTGGCACCTAGTAGACCAGAGAGGTAAAACAACGTCAGATTAAATTTGCTGTATCTCTTCGGATAGAAAAATATAATAACAATATGTTATATACTCATATCTTGCAGGTGCAGAGAGATGACGTTTTCGTGAGTTTGTTGAAAACTACGTATTCATTCACAGCTTAGTTATTCGCCTACACTTTCTTCCGTTAGCAAATCCGCTTAACTGTGTTACTCGTTGTCTCTTTAGATGTTCCCAGAACAGCAAATGTTTATGATGTTCTAGACCAAAAGTGCAAGCCTCAAGGTGGGAATCATTTTCAATTTGTTCACCATTGGTGTTTAAAACTACTAGTATTTATACTACTAATTAAATTTAAGTAGCTTAAACATTTTGATTCAATGTTTGCATGTAAGTAAATGCGATCTGTGTGTTTGATGAATAGTTGAGCAAAAATCATCATTTATTATTATTTTATTATTAGTCCCTTGGGTTCCTAGTGGAACATAGGGCTTCAGTAGCACGCCTCCAGTGACCTCTGTTCTCTGAGATCTTTTGAACCTGGTCCCATGACAGCCCACAACCTCTCATTTCCTCCTCGCACGACCTCCTCCATGTCACCCTCACCTCAGACGCCCAACTCGTCGCTTCCCATGGGGATTACACTCGAGGGCCTGGCCTGACGCGTGATGTCCCCAGTCGGCCTTCTCAGTGCATGGCCAATCCATCTCCACTTCTTCCTGCATATTTGTTGCGTGATAGGTTCTTGGTTGGTTTGTTCCCAGAAAAAATCATCATAGCCAATTCTAAAACATTCCTACCTGAAACACCAGTTGGTATGGTAAATTGTTAGATGACGTTAACAACGGCATAACGATAGCCTATGGAACAAAATAAGGTTTTATTTTAATGCGCTGGAGACGTTGGTAAGATGTCTTCCAAATAAGTTCTGTGCTTATTAGGGCTTGACAACAAGGCATCTCTGCAAATTTGGCAGGAGTGAAGTATCTTCAGGGGCTTGAAATTGCAACACCAAGTTTAGGGGTTAGTACTCTAACCACTAAGCTATTGAGTCTGACACTGCCCTCCTGGATTAGATATATTTATTGGTCACTGGGCGGCAACCAATTTCATGTTGCCTTGTTCTGAGTGCTGACCGAATACCATCGATCATAAAATTTTAATTTATTACACTTCATTTTATTAGTTTTCCGGTAGATTTAACTGTTAGTTTAAGGTAAAGTTTATTGACAGTGGAAACTAGATTATTTTTAGAATCCTCACATAATAACATTCATTATCGATATGGAATCTTATACAGATCAATATAAAAACTGATCTATAAGTTTGGTGTTGAAGAGTGTTAATGTTTCTCCCTAACTTTAGTATGGGTAAAAACCTGGAAGTGAAGTTCCACCGTAGTAACTCATGATCTCTGAAGATTAGATGGCCAGAATAATAAGAATAAGCAACAAGTGGATAACGCGCTGGCGTTTTAAGCGATCGCTCCCGAGTCCGAGTCCCGGTGGGAACAACACACTGGGAAGCAGGTACATCCAGCTGACGAGTCCCAAATAGAACGAAATGCGCATCCTGGATTCCGCTGTCAGCCACTGCCCATCATTAATATACATAGCTAAAAGACAGGCAATATCGAGGCATCCGCATAGGAGCCGATATGTCATCAGAGACTGATCAATTCGGTCCAATCAACTACGGCGTAATACAAGCAATAACACTAAGCAACAAGGAACTCTGGCCTGGCAACGAATCAACCAAGAATCCATCGCCCAACAAATCTGCAGGAGAAGAAAGTGGAGGTGGATTGGATTGGACAAACACTGAAAAGACCGATTGGGAAAATCGAGCGTTAGGCCAGACCCTCGAGTGGAACCCGAATGGGAAGCGACGAGTTGGGCGTCGTAGGGTGACATTGAGGGTATCGTGTGACGAAGAAATGAAAGCTTGTGAGCAGTCCTGGAGCCAGGTTGAAAAGACTGCAGAGAAGAGAGTGAAATGGCGACGTGCTGCTGAATCCCTATGTTCCACTAGGAACCCAAGGGACAAATAGTAATAACAAAATTCATGATTAGCTCCTCCCCCGTGGGTACGTTTTTGCTGATCATCGCTTAAATACTGGTCATACATATAAGCTTCGGATCCGTTAAAGGATAGAATAATGACACTACATGTTAAGTAAGACTAACAAAAGCAAACATAGTGAATGTAAATTTAAATGAAATTTTATTCAGATTACTGGACAACAACGTGTAGGTTAGATGACTTTAATAAAATTATAGTACGCAAATTCAGTATCACTTTGAGAGTAGGTAGATTTTGTGGGAAGCGTTTAAGATAATGAGCTTAGTTTTACAGAAAGAGGTATAGAAAAATACATATTACTCTCTAAGATTGGCTACCAGTCTCTTAGCAGTATTTTAAACACTCAAGTGAAACAAACATATTATAATAGTCTAGAAACTATGTTTACTACTAAGTCATTTGAAGGAGAACAGTCATAAAATCCAAATTATTTACAATAATGCTGCAAATCAGT